GAGACGTAAACCGAGGGACGTATTTATAATAAATAGTGAACAGTATTAATAAATAGTAAACAGTAACAATAAAAAGTAAAAAAAAAAAACTATTGATAATGTTCATTATTACTTGACGCATGAATGAAATGAGGTAAGAAAGGAGGGAGATGAGAAGAGCAGAATGTTAGACGGGCCTGCGTGCCCAATTCTAAACACTTAGAGAATAAAGTTTATTCCTTCGTTCCTTCCCCATCCGAAAATATATAAGTCTGCTGCTGAACTACCTCCGCTCTTAATTATTTCTTTATGTATATATTAGGGCTCCTGTTGTGGTTAACTTTACAAGTAGCGAGATCTTTAGAGATATAGGAACGCCTGCACCGCGAGGCAAGGAACGTCACTAGGGCTTTGTTTATGGTGGTACGCAAGGTACGAAAGGTTGGTTCCGAAGCAGATCTCTACCAACTGATAACAAAACTACAGTCTGTGATAAATATGGCGTAGAAATTAATGCTAAAAAAGCATGACACTGGTGAATAGCAACGATAGCATACAGATAATAAGTTAGTTGCGTATCCTTTACAGGACGTTGCAGAACCAACCCCAGCATGTTTTGGTTGTTGTAGTTTTTCTACTCAAATTGTGCATCCAGTAGTTTGCCATTGCCCTGATCAGTCAGCTCACAGTACCACTGTCGAAACCAACGCAAGACAAATAAATCTTCCGCAGCTGGGATCGAACACGGCAACCCGGCATTACGAAGCGTGTTTAAAAAAAATGAAAAAAGAGGGGGGGGGGGAAAGGGGGAGGGGGAACTAGCGCGTGGCGGTGGGGGAAGTCGAAGAAGAAGGGGGCAAAGCAGAACCTGGAAGGACAACATCAAGAAATAGAGAGGGCCTAAATTATTTTACACTTATTCAACAAGCGTAAGACGGAGAGAGATGGCAGGATTTTCACACCTCCACCGCCCCAACGGGTCAAGAGTTATGTTACGTTATGTAATGTTAACAGTACACAGTACTGTCAAATTTTTAAAAGAAAATTTAGGAGAGTATCGGCACCTTTGTTTTTACAGAGAAGAATGGAAAAGCCGTGAACGTCATTATGATGACCATGGCATACTCTATTATTGTTTATCTATTAGAGAAGGCGTTGATGATGACAATGAGTGAAGCAACCAAAATATACAATCAACGTGTCGAAAATGTTGGACTAAACAAATTATGTACCAGAATCTTTGAAAGTTCGAACATTTATGGTCCAAAATGGTGGGCGGGATGTTGTCTTGTGAAGTAGTAATACTAATGGCCTATGAAACATTCAGTTAAAAGCGTAACTTCAGTATTTCAGTCGTTCTTTCCCCCTTCAGTATACGCAAGGTGAATAAATTACACATTGTGCTGGTTTTGTTAATAATTTAACCGTTGAGATAATTTCATTAATTGAGTAGAAAGATTATTATTTATTAGTTGAAAATGATGCCATTTCTTCCATTTTTGTAAATTTGTTTTGTTTTGTTGTGTTACAATAGCACTAAAAAAAATATGCGTTTTAGAAAAAAGTGCCGGTACTCACTACACAGTATCTATTACAGTAACGCCCCCCCCCCCCCCAAAGAAAAAATTATGTATAGAAAAAGGTGCCGGTACTCACTACACTCTACACAGTATCTATTACAGTAACGCGTCCAAAAAATTTATGGGGAAGGATATTAATAAAGAACCCATCGTTCTCTCAGCCTGAACAAAACATTGATTTTTCTACCCAAGATGTCTTTTATATCCTGTTGCAAACTTCATGCTGGTTGGTCACTGCCCCTCTTTCCTGGTACCATGCCATCCATTACTGTTCTTTCCAGTTCATTTTGGCACTTGATGTGGTAAAAATGTTTCTGTATCTATCTTCAGTTGCTGTTTCTTTATTACATTTTTGGGTCGGAGGCTGTTAACTTCTTGACTTATAGTATGCTCAGACCAGGTAGATTGTTAAAGTTTCACGACTGACAGATGTGTTTCTTCCTGCTTCTTCTTCTTCTTCTTCTTTTCCTCCTCTTCCTCTTCCTTCTTTTTCTTTCTTCTTCTTCTTCTTCTTCTTCTTCTTCTTCTTCTTCTTCTTCTTCTTCTTCTTCTTCTTCTTCTTCTTCTTCTTCTTCTCCTCCTCCTTCTGCTCCTCTTCATCATCTTCTTAGTCTGCCTCTTGGTGTACCCCCATTCAGCGCTTTTGTGTACGCAGTTTCTGTCTCTTTGCTATCTGCCATTCTCTCTTTATGGCCCTAAATCATGCCCAGCATTTAATGATGTTTTAAACAGATTATGAATTTCATTATTGCTTCTCACTCTCCATTCTGTATTTCATGATTACATATTTACTTTTTTTTTCTCCAAAATAGGCATTTGTTCTGTGTTCCCCAAACCATATAAGTAAAATTAATCATTGCCTGTATGGTATTGAATTTCCCATTAGAACTAAACAATCAAATCAACTGGTGGAGATGCTTAGCTGTTGTGTGTGAGATATCATGTCATTATTCAAGCGCCTGTTGAACCGAGGCACAGAGGATGCTAAATCTCCAGGGATGCCTCCTGGAACCCAAGCTGTGGGTGTCCAGCTACAACGTCGGTTTACCAGAGGAGTCCAGTACAACAGTAATATACGTTTTTTGCTTCTTTTTACATCTTTTTGTACGGTAGTCATTAATCACAGTTCCAACTTTATGGCAGCGGATGATCCCATGTTTGTTCTGTTTCTCTGCCAGCACAGCTGTGCTAAATGATTCATTGTTGTCCCAAATGACAGCAAGCGAATCAGATAGTAGTCCCAGCAAGACCAACAACATTTACATGCATTAAATGCATACTGCAGCTGCGAGAATATCATCATTAACTGTCTGGCCGCTGTCTTGAATTGCAGTTCATTATTGAAAAAGGCAACAGTCCTGATAAAACCAACATCATTGATGTATCAGTGAACCTTGTCATCCTTTGTTTTCTTTGGTATTTTGACTACTCCTACGAATGTGTTCTGATATTTTCCCAATTATTCTTTTTCTTCAGCATTCTGAGCCCTTAAGGTTCATTGCTGCAGATATCACCTGCCTCCATTCATCTCTCTGGTTGGCCTTCTCTTTCCAGTTGGTTACACCAGGTGTTTGTGGGTCTGTCTGGATATTATCTCTCCATCGTCTTCTTGGTCTGCTTTATGGTCTACATTTCCCTAGCGCATATCGAAAACATAGTTAATCCAAAAAGTATGAAGATATTCAGCTAGACCTTCCCAAGGTTTCAGTAATGGTAATGGGCGTATCAAAGTGTGAGAGCATGACTGTCACGGCATTTCAATAACTAGCCAGATTTCCAAAGTATAAGTCTAGCTGTAACAAGAAAAGATGAATTTGGACACGAAAAAGTATGTTACACGAAGTGAACAAAAGGGCCCGTTCCAGAGATCTATTCCTGTACTGACATCCGAAGGCATTCCAGGGGTAGAGAAAAGAAGACATACCAAGGCATTCCAGGAGTAGAGAAAAGAAGACATCCCAAGGCATTCCAGGGGTAGAGAAAAGAAGAAGAAGTTAAGGCTTAAAGCCCACCTCACCATTGATTGTCTGGTACACATGGAAAATATTGGATCACACATGACACGTTGTTTGGGACTGAATTAGCTACCACTTTCTAAGGCGATGTAGGACAGGGAGTCTTGAGTTTCAAGATTTAGGCCTGCGTGCATAGTGCACTTACTAGACTGAATCATTGCAAAGTTGCTTGGAGTTAACTTCATCTTTCTCTCAGGGTATATGGGATTTATCGGCAATTAAAGAGCTTATAGAATGATTTGTTCTGCCTTAGTTGCAGATGGCCAGCCTATGGATCACGCAGACAGTATGTGAGTGTTATTGGCAATGAAAGAGCTTAAAGACTGATTGGTTCTGCCTTAGTTGCAGATGGCCAGCCTATGGATCACGCAGACAGTATGTGAGTGTTATTGGCAATGAAAGAGCTTAAAGACTGATTGGTTCTGCCTTAGTTGCAGATGGCCAGCCTATGGATCACGCAGACAGTATGTGAGTGTTATTGGCAATGAAAGAGCTTATAGACTGATTTGGTCTGCCTTAGTTGCAGATGGTCAGCCTATTGATTGCGCAGGCATTATTAATACCCTTAGAGAGACAAGATGATTGGAGGATTTTGTGAGCAGAGTCTCCACATCACTGTTAATTAAGAATGTGAGAATTGGGAGTAAAAGATCAGCACAGACAGGAATGAAAGCCACACCAGATGTACAAGAATTCTTTGTTAACCAGCAAAGGACTGGCACTATTAACTACGGGGCGGACGCTGATGTATATGTTGAAGTGGGAATCTGAGCACCTATTGTTGTGACCACAGGACCATGAAAATAACTGAGCTCATAACTTATAACATACCAGTGACTGTACATGCTTTGATTTTATTTTTACACCCGATGGAAGAAAAAAATGCATCACCTTGCCGAAAATTGGAACTTGGGCAGCTTGGCCAGCTGCTGCACTGACAGCATAGTTGACATAGTGTAAACACCTCAATAGTTGCTTCAATCTGGTCTTTTTCAGTGAAAATTGTCATCCGAGGTGATAATAATGTTGGAAAGACCTGTCTGTTTCAACGAATTCAAGGGCAGAAGTTCAAGGAAGAATATGTCCCCACAGAGGAAATTCAGGTTGTATTATTATTGTTAATTTATATCTAAATTAAATCTTCTTCTTCTTCTCTTCTTCATTCTTCTTCTCCGCCTCCTCCTCCTTCTTCTTTTTCTCCTCCTCCTTCTCCTGTTGCCCAGTTTAAGTTCAAGTGAAAAGTTCTGGTTGTTCATCCACTTCTGTACTTTGGTCTTGTTCCAGAACTTGAGTTTATGCATGTATGTCCATTTTACAGACCTGGCTTATTTGTTTGCAGACTGTTAGTTCCTTATCTCTCAGGCAGATGCGCTCTTTCTTCAAAGGAAATACCCCTAATTATTCACTTTTTACGACATGCTTGTTAAGGGAATGGGTGATGGGTCTATCAACAATTTTACAAAAATATTAACCGTGTCCATACTTAACTCTTTCTGTCCCATACAGTGCATCATGTGTGACTGGTTTTACTCATATGCACCAGTTAACATATTATTATGCATGTACATTTTAGGTTTAATTGGTACATGCTACAAGACCCAACAACACATATGTCTCCGACAAGGGATGTGTATTTGGAACCTATGGATGTATATACCCATTAGTTTATTGTTTCCACATTTGACTCACTGGGTCATCAACTATGGCCTTCTGGGATGAGAAGAGTTAAAATTTAGCACAAATAGTCATTCTGCACATAAAAAGTTAACATACGTGCATATTTGGTAAATTTTGGGAACAAATATTACTCTATGGGGAGATTGCCTGAACAGAAATCTCCTGACACCCTGGTCGACAATTTTACCACCAAACAATTACTGTGATTTTACCTCAGATTTGTTCCAGAATGTGAAATTGTGGATATATTAATGTCTACCTATGTGTAAAATTATTGTTTGAGAATAATTTCAACATGCCTTAATTTTATTTAAAATGTGTGACCATCTAAAAATTATTAATTTTTGCCCCAGATTTGTTCCAAAACATAAAATTATGTATAGATCTTCTTGTTCTTAAAGTCCATGCCGTGTGGCTTTGGTAGTCATGCCTATCCACAACCTTCTGTCTTGTGTACCTTCATATCAAGTCTGACACAGATGATCTTTCCTGCCATGATGTCAAACTGCCAAGCATCTGTTCTCTCGGTCTCCCTCTGCCTCTCCTCTCCTCCAGCTTTCCTACTATCACAATGTACTCCTGTTTTCTCCTTCTCATCACATGACCAAAGAGTGTAGATTGTCTCTTTCTGATGTGGACAATCAGTTCTTTTTGTGAGTCAGTTTCTGTATATATGGAATAGTATCTATATAGTACAATTCTGTAATATGAATTGTACGGGGGTTGCACAGGCAGAGAAACGAAGGCAGACTAGAAAGAATCGTACTCGTAATCCCACACTAACTGCGGCTTCCGTCTGTTGTCCGCAGTGCTAAAGAACTTTCCTAGCTCATATTGGACTAATCAGCCACCTTCGTACTCATAATCATTGATCATTACTACTTTGGATGAAAGCTTTCTTCATCACTCATGATGGACAAACAACATAGTAAAATTATGAGCTTATTCTGATGGTTGCTTCTACCTGCAGGTGACATCAATTCAGTGGAACTACAATGCTACTAATGATGTTGTGAAGGTAGAGGTTTGGGATGTCACTGATAAGGGAAAGAAGAGACGCAAAATGCCTGGATTGAAAATGGACAACAGTGAAATTATGGTAAGTTGAAATTAGCTTTGCCTGTTTATGAATCTTCTGGAAGGCTGAGTTTCAACTCTGAACTCTGATACATTGGCCCCACAGTTGGGTTACATTTAACAAAGTGTGGCTATTACATGGCTTGTGTTGTGAGCTGTAGATCCAGAAAATGGCAAGAGGTCTGTGGGTACTGGGGATACCTTATGTGATTATTTGCATGTGCAACTACTGATTTATTGTAGCTGCTGTTTACACTGATTATGAACTGAAGTTCTAGCCTTAGACTATTTATCACGTTTGACGGCAACCTTATGCATTTAACATGTGTATGCTGTTAACTTTGCCAAGACTGCAGGTTGTGTCAGTTTTGTCAAAGAACAGTGATGAGCATTCTGTGTTGTTTTTGTTGGCACACAAGTGGAGCAACTGTGGAGTGACCCGTTTACTGGGAAGTTGAAACTGCAGTTACCTGATTCTGATTACTTTAGACACTTTCCTTCTGATTTTGTTTTTGTTTTTTAGTCTTTTGCAACCACAAGTTAAAAAAAAAAATTGTTTAACACTTTGCAGCAAAACAAACACATAGTGAACTGCTGGATTCGAATCAATCAACAGGTCATTTACTGGACGTCACCTCATCACAGCAAGCCTGAAAGTGTTTCTTTAGTCAGTCTCCTGCCTTATGTGCTTTCATAGCCACTGCATCTTCACAGTCCTGTATCCACCTTTGTGGCGGTCTACTTCTGCCTTATTTTCCAGAGACTGGACTTTCCATCACCGTTTTTTCCAGACCACCATGACATTCAACAGGGCCAGAATACCTCAGCTTTCGGAACAGGATGCTGAGGTTGTCCACGTCTGTTTTTCCTGTCTACACTCCACCAGAGACTGTCCTTGCTGGTTTCAAAAGACATTTTGCAAACAAGTCCTAGCCATCTTTATCTTCTTCCTTTGCCAGGGCTGAATTTTTTTGTTTTTCTCCTTAGTTCTTCATTTGTACTCTTCTTTGACCAAAAATATTCCAATGATTCTCCTAAGACATTTATTTGGGAAAAGTCTCTAGTTGATTAAAAATACCTGCTATTATTTTCAAACACTCATTCTTGTATTACAGTATTCATACAACATTGCTATCGTACACCAAGTTGTGTGTAGAGAATAATCAACTAATTTTAATCTTCTCAGGATGCAGAAGAGCCAGATCTGGACTCAGAGCCTGTGGATGTCTACAAGGGAGCTCATGGAGTGGTTTTTGTCTTTGATATCACCAAACAGTGGTATGTTATTTTCTGGTTATGGGAACACTCTAAGATGTCCACCACCTCAATGTGACTTCCCTCTTCCTTTACCTTCTAAAACAATGGAAATCATATGGGAAGTCTGCAGGTTGAGGGTAAAACTGAAGCTTTTAGAATTACATTATTTTGTCAAAGATAAAAAGTATAATGATGGCCTTGGATATTCCATCTATCTAGGACTTGTGTGGGCGTCCTCTCACTCTGCTTATGTTGTGACTAAATGACAGGGCTGTCTTTGGTGCACTGTCTTGTGGCAGACTTGACACATGACCAAACAATTTGATCTGTTCAACTTTATGTAGTTTAGCACTGATTCTGTCCCAGCTTGTTCCTTGATTTTGACATTTCTAATCCTGTCTTTTCTATTTACATTTAGGATTAGTTGTAGACATTTAATTTCTATTTCAATTATTCAGTCCATTAAGGCTCTGTTGTCGTTTACCAAAAAGATTGGTCTGTTTTCTCTTGTGTTTATTTCTTTGAGTAAACTGTTATCCTCTGCTGACAGCAATATCTACACAGAGATATTTGTACTCTTAATTACGGTAGTGTTTACTATAGAATCATGTCTACCTTTTAATTACACATAACATATTTGACAACAGTATTATGAGATTGATTGACCGCTCCCTTCATCTTCTTTTTTTTTTTCTTATCCAGTTCTGTATTGCCTTTCAGCATCAGGTTTTGAAGAGGCATCGGGTGCCAGCCTTGGTATTAGCTACATAGAGGCTGATACTTTGGACCTAGTGACATTTGTTCAATGATTTGATTTGATTTGATTACATCTGTGATCTATCTCCGCTTCAGTTGGATGATATTATGCTCCCTAGATACTTGAAGTCTTTTTCTTGCTTGAGTTGTTGATTTTATATGCCCATCTTTATTGGTTCTTCTGTCCTTTCAGTTGTCACTACCTGTTTGGTGATTCTCTGCTTGTCTGGTGATTCTCTCCCTGACTGGTGATTCTCTACCTGTTTGGTGATTCTCTGCCTGTCTGGTGATTCTCTGCCTGTTTGATGACATCCACACATTATCACCATCAAATTTTCTTCTCAGAAAGTGATACACCAGCACTGTGTTGTCAATAATTTTTTTTTCTTTATTTGCCAAACACAGGACTTTCACCTATGTAGAACGAGAGATGGAGAAAGTCCCCAGTCACCTCCCTGTGTTGATCCTAGGAAACCACAGAGACATGGGACATCACAGGAGTGTAACGGAGGAAAGAGCCCGTTATTTCGTTGAACAGTGCCTGGCAGACAGGTGGGTGTGGTTTGTGTGTGTGCATGTTGTAGTTCTACTGTGGTTGGGCAGGGGTTAATGCACCAGTCTGATGCCATGTGGATGTGGAAAGCAAGGGGAAACTACCACATTATTATCCTGAGAAACTCAGTGTTAAACAGCATTAAAAGTTTATGGTTGAGCACCAGCTTTGAAAACAAAAATACAATTTTCAGGGCATGTATCTTCCTTGTAGCCAAATAGGCATGTAAGTCGTGGACTATCTTCCAGTCCTTAAGAGAGAAAAGAGGGGCATTTGAGCTAAAAATGCTGTAGAAAGATAATCAAAATTCCAGGGACAAAAAAGAGAAGAAATACGGACTTTTGAAGGATCTAAACATCCAGATTAACCAATAAACAGCATCTTGTTTGGGAAGCTGAAATATTTTGGTCCTATCAAGTGCCATGGTGGATTGGACAAAAACAAATACAGTAGGCATGGTACCAGGAAGGAGGGGCAGGGGCCCACCATGGGCACAGGAAATAAGTGACTCCTTGAATATTAAAGTACACAAGGTAAGAGGACTGGCGAGAGATCGAGTTTCTTTCAGGCTGACCGTGATGGGAGCCGTTCAGCAAAGGACTTGCTACATGATGATGATGACTGGTTGCATGGTTCTGTGGTTCAGTTCTTAACTCTTCCAGGAGAAAGCATTATTATTTAACCTCCTTCTATCCCAGGAATCCAAACAGGCAGAGAATCACCAGACAGGCAGAGAATCACCAAACAGGCAGAGAATCACCAGACAGGCAGAGAATCACCAGACAGGCAGAGAATCACCAAACAGGCAGAGAACCACCAGACAGGCAGTGAATCACCAAACAGGCAGTGAATCACCAGACAGGCAGATAATCACCAAACAAGCAGAGAATCACCAGACAGGCAAAAAAATAACCAGACAGGCAGAGAATCACCAAACAGGCAGAGAATCACTAAACAGGCAGAGAATCACCAAACAAGTAGAGAATCACTAAACAGGTAGTGAATCACCAAACAGGTAGTGAATCACCAAACAAGTAGAGAATCACCAAACAGGCAGAGAATCACCAAACAGGTAGTGAATCACCAAACAAGTAGAGAATCACCAAACAGGTAGTGAATCACCAAACAAGTAGAGAATCACCAGTCAGGCAGAGAATCACCAGACAAGCAGAGAATCACCAAACAGGTAGTGAATCACCAAACAGGCAGAGAATCACCAAACAGGCAGAGAATCACCAAATTGGCTGTGATGTCCCATGGTGTCTGTTGACATAAAAGGAGTTATAACATATGTCTGTGATAGAAGGCAGCAAGAACATAAATAGACTTATTATAACATATGTCTGTGATAGAAGGCAGCAAGAACATAAATAGACTTATTATAACATATGTATGCGATAGAAGGCAGCAAGAACATAAATAGACTTATTATAACATATGTCTGTGATAGAAGGCAGCAAGAACATAAATAGAGTTATTATAACATATGTCTGTGATAGAAGGCAGCAAGAACATAAATAGACTTATTATAACATATGTCTGTGATAGAAGGCAGCAAGAACATAGACTTATTATAACATATGTCTGTGATAGAAGGCAGCAAGAACATAAATAGACTTATTATAACATATGTCTGTGATAGAAGGCAGCAAGAACATAAATAGAGTTATTATAACATATGTCTGTGATAGAAGGCAGCAAGAACATAAATAGAGTTATTATAACATATGTCTGTGATAGAAGGCAGCAAGAACATAAATAGACTTATTATAACATATGTCTGTGATAGAAGGCAGCAAGAACATAAATAGACTTATTATAACATATGTCTGTGATAGAAGGCAGCAAGAACATAAATAGAGTTATTATAACATATGTCTGTGATAGAAGGCAGCAAGAAACATAAATAGACTTATTATAACATATGTCTGTGATAGAAGGCAGCAAGAACATAGACTTATTATAACATATGTATGTGATAGAAGGCAGCAAGAACATAAATAGACTTATTATAACATATGTCTGTGATAGAAGGCAGCAAGAACATAAATAGACTTATTATAACATATGTCTGTGATAGAAGGCAGCAAGAACATAAATAGACTTATTATAACATATGTCTGTGATAGAAGGCAGCAAGAACATAAATAGACTTATTATAACATATGTCTGTGATAGAAGGCAGCAAGAACATAGACTTATTATAACATATGTCTGTGATAGAAGGCAGCAAGAACATAAATAGACTTATTATAACATATGTCTGTGATAGAAGGCAGCAAGAATATAAATAGAGTTATTATAACATATGTCTGTGATAGAAGGCAGCAAGAACATAAATAGACTTATTATAACATATGTCTGTGATAGAAGGCAGCAAGAACATAAATAGACTTATTATAACATATGTCTGTGATAGAAGGCAGCAAGAACATAAATAGAGTTATTATAACATATGTCTGTGATAGAAGGCAGCAAGAACATAAATAGACTTATTATAACATATGTCTGTGATAGAAGGCAGCAAGAACATAGACTTATTATAACATATGTATGTGATAGAAGGCAGCAAGAACATAAATAGACTTATTATAACATATGTCTGTGATAGAAGGCAGCAAGAACATAAATAGACTTATTATAACATATGTCTGTGATAGAAGGCAGCAAGAACATAAATAGACTTATTATAACATATGTCTGTGATAGAAGGCAGCAAGAACATAGACTTATTATAACATATGTATGTGATAGAAGGCAGCAAGAACATAGACTTATTATAACATATGTATGTGATAGAAGGCAGCAAGAACATAGACTTATTATAACATATGTATGTGATAGAAGGCAGCAAGAACATAGACTTATTATAACATATGTATGTGATAGAAGGCAGCAAGAACATAGACTTATTATAACATATGTATGTGATAGAAGGCAGCAAGAACATAGACTTATTATAACATATGTATGTGATAGAAGGCAGCAAGAACATAAATAGACTTATTATAACATATGTCTGTGATAGAAGGCAGCAAGAACATAAATAGACTTATTATAACATATGTCTGTGATAGAAGGCAGCAAGAACATAGACTTATTATAACATATGTATGTGATAGAAGGCAGCAAGAACATAGACTTATTATAACATATGTATGTGATAGAAGGCAGCAAGAACATAAATAGACTTATTATAACATATGTATGTGATAGAAGGCAGCAAGAACATAGACTTATTATAACATATGTATGTGATAGAAGGCAGCAAGAACATAGACTTATTATAACATATGTATGTGATAGAAGGCAGCAAGAACATAGACTTATTATAACATATGTATGTGATAGAAGGCAGCAAGAACATAGACTTATTATAACATATGTATGTGATAGAAGGCAGCAAGAACATAGACTTATTATAACATATGTATGCGATAGAAGGCAGCAAGAACATAAATAGACTTATTATAACATATGTCTGTGATAGAAGGCAGCAAGAACATAGACTTATTATAACATTTGTCTGTGATAGAAGGCAGCAAGAACATAGACTTATTATAACATTTGTCTGTGATAGAAGGCAGCAAGAACATAGACTTATTATAACATTTGTCTGTGATAGAAGGCAGCAAGAACATAAATAGACTTATTATAACATATGTCTGTGATAGAAGGCAGCAAGAACATAAATAGACTTATTATAACATATGTCTGTGATAGAAGGCAGCAAGAACATAGACTTATTATAACATATGTATGTGATAGAAGGCAGCAAGAACATAGACTTATTATAACATTTGTCTGTGATAGAAGGCAGCAAGAACATAGACTTATTATAACATATGTCTGTGATAGAAGGCAGCAAGAACATAAATAGACTTATTATAACATATGTCTGTGATAGAAGGCAGCAAGAACATAAATAGACTTATTATAACATATGTCTGTGATAGAAGGCAGCAAGAACATAGACTTATTATAACATTTGTCTGTGATAGAAGGCAGCAAGAACATAGACTTATTATAACATATGTCTGTGATAGAAGGCAGCAAGAACATAAATAGACTTATTATAACATATGTATGTGATAGAAGGCAGCAAGAACATAGACTTATTATAACATTTGTCTGTGATAGAAGGCAGCAAGAACATAGACTTATTATAACATTTGTCTCTGATAGAAGGCAGCAAGAACATAGACTTATTATAACATATGTCTGTGATAGAAGGCAGCAAGAACATAAATAGACTTATTATAACATATGTCTGTGATAGAAGGCAGCAAGAACATAAATAGAGTTATTATAACATATGTCTGTGATAGAAGGCAGCAAGAAGATAACATTATGTTTACAATGACCAAGAAACACATGATGGCTTGTTTGGTACTAAAGAGTTAATAAACATAGAAGTAGCCCCATAGTATTCCCATCCTGGCCCAAAAGCTGAGGTGTTTTGGTCATGTTAAACATCATGGTCGCCTGGAGGCAATAAATGGTGGTAGCCTAGCTGTTCACAAAACCCACCCAGTATGCCAACCATCTTTAAGGAAGAACATCAAAGAAGAAGAAAAAGTCTAGTATAAATTTATGAAAACAGGTTAACACCAAGCCATACAGGTAGGAAAATATATTCTGCTATCTCTGGGGTTTAAACCTGGGCTATTATCTCAGCAGGCTAGTATACTAGCCATTATATGGCAATAGTTCCTCAGTTCTTAGCAGAATCAGAGGTACAGATGATATGCTGGGCTAGATGACGTAAATAGCATACCCTAGTGGTTCTGTTCATTGGGGGGATGAAAGATCTGTTTTCTTCTTCTTCTGCTTTGCTTTTTTTGTTCTCTTGTATTTTGCTCACATAGTTGTGTTCCTCTTTTTATTTACAGGCATGAAGGCTGTGGGAAAATCAGATATGCTGAGTCATCTATGAGAAATGGATTTGGCTTGAAATATCTGTATGCCTTTTTCAACCTTCCTTTTCTACAACTCCAGGTTTGTATTTATTTGTGGCCATTGTTTTTTAACTGTCTGATTTGGATCTTTGAACCATTACCACCATTCATACATGTAATTCATTTTTATTTAAGAATTAAACTGCGACATTTCTAACAATTTTGCAGTGGAGTTCTTCTTCTTCTTCTTCTTTTTCACATTCACCAGCTGTAAACTCCGGCAGAAAGTTCTGGTTGTTCGTCCACTTCTGGACTTCAGTCCTGTTCCGGAACCTGAGTGTTACGTGCACATCCATTTTACAGACCTGACTTTGCATGCAGACTGTTAGTTCTTTGCCTCTCAGACAGATGCACCCTGACTTAGAAGGAAGCTCCCAATTAGTCGATTAGTCGACTCTTACGACATGCTTTTGGGTAGGCAGTGGGTCTATTCTTGTTTTCCTTGTAATAAGACCCCGGAACCCACACGGGGAGCAGTGGATTTAAATGTTCACAGCAACAACAAAAATGCCCCAGAAACTGTATACGAACTAAAAAAACTAGAAGTAGATGGATTGATGGAGTCACAGAAACAGCCTAAGACCTCACAACACTGCAACATACCAAGCAGCCAAACACACTCTGATTTGGTTGCTCATAATCTGTTAACCCTTTCACCCCACAGATGCTTAAAAAAAACGAGTTATGAATTTCTGAGAAATCCTTTTTTTTTTTTAAATAAACACATGCACAAAACTATTTTGCACAGGTAAAGTAATAAATTGTTTCAGAAATTATTTATCTGCATTTCAAAAATTTGTATTTTTACAAATATATAAATGGAGAAATGAGTAAATAAGAACAGTGAAGCATTAAAGGGAATGCATTCCCCGGACCCTAAAACAGATATGTATCAGGAAAACAAATATGCATCGGAAAACACATATATGTATCAGATGACATTTACTATGACCTCTCCAGCACTGAGGCTTACAGGAAAGTTGCTTTTCAAAACAGCTATTGGATTCACAAAGGAAACCCTTTAGATGCTATAATCAGTTTGTATATTCACATCAAGGCAGGCACACATAAAACCATTAGCATTTAACTACGCTCTTTGAGAAGAGGTCACTGCAGGAGTAACGATATATCTACATATATGGGGGGACTGTGTCACAGCCGGAAGTGACTAGATTTAGTGTTCTGGGGTGATAGGGTTGAATTGTGGTACAGAATCAAATTTGACAAAAGAAAGAAGAACCAATACCGCTTAAATGATCAGTATTTTGTTATTATCCCATTCTGTGATTTCTTGATATGTTCTAATTTGTTTTATTTTTTTTATTTCTGATACTAATTGTTTTTTTGTTTTTGTTTTTTTACTTCTTTATTATTTATAAACTGCCAGTTACTGCCTTTATTATACCACTTTTGTGGTGTAGGCAGGGGCATCTTTATGATATATAATTGTGATAATTTACCATTGTAACTTTTTATTCTGGCATCCTCAAAGATCTGAACATCAGGGAAGATTGGCTAGTAAGCAGCATCTTGTCTCGCAAGCTATATATATAAATATATGTCAGCCATATCGAGCGCCATTACAGATTAGAAATAATATCAGAGAGCATGGTACCACAAAAGAGGGGCAGGGTTCATCCAGCACGAAGATTGGCACAGGAAATAAGTGACTCCTTGGGGAGGAAGGTGCATGAGGCGGGAGAGCAGGTGAGAGACCGAGTTTCTCTCTGGCAGATCGTGATGAGAGCGACGTTCTGCAAAGGATCTGCTGCATGATGATGGTGTTGTTAATATATTAATGTATGTAAAGGTGTTTGGAGGTAAGAAGATTGGTCTCATTGCATTAGGTTTGATCCTTAATGGGGGCAGTCTCTTTCTGAGAGCTGCTGCACGATATTTTGGCACAAAGCACAAACTTCATAGCTCCGGCAGTTACCCACAGGGATTTAGACAAAGCCGAAAATTGAACTCTATAACTTCAGAGCACGAGACAAACACCTTAATCCCTCAGCCATGAAGATCTGTATTCAATAAATGTTTTACAAAAATAGAGATCTTTTTTGCTGTGGAAGAAAAAAAATAGCTTTTTCTCTGTTTGTGATGCTATTATGTCATCATCACTTTACTTCTCATGTTTATGTTAACATAAACATGTATTTCTTGGTCAAAGGGAAGGCAAATATTTAATTCTTTGCATCTGTTATATTTAACGATTATATTCCTTATAAGATTGTACAAGTAGTAGGTTGGAAAATAAAATAGATATTTTGTCTAAATGTTTAGTGACTTGGGGGGGTGGGGGGGGGGGGGTGGGTGGCGATGGCACAGTAGTTAGCAGGCTTGCTTGTCTTGTGAGTGGTCATATGTTATCCTACCTCCACACACACACACACACACAAAAACGTGACCAGGACTCCAAGAATCACTTTCTTTTCTTCTTTCTTCCTCTAGTTTTTTTTTTATTGGGGGGGGGGGGGGGGGGGGGGGGGGTATTGCAATTTAATTTTAATTACATTTGGGGAAAAGGTTATTTTATAAGATGCTTACGAGGCAGGAGAGTTAAATGTTGTATGTCTCTGTTTCATCATTTTCAGAGGGACAGACTGCTGAGCCAGCTTGAGACAAACACAAATGATATTGTATCCACTGTTGAAGAATTAGTCATACACAAGGACTCTGAGGAGCAGAATTATGATATGTAAGAATTCCTTCCCTTTCCTTCCCCTTCATTTTTCTTCTTATTCCTTCTCACTCTCATCCATCTCTTCCTCCTTAGCCGCCTTCTCCTTCCTCTTCCTTCTAATTCTCATTCACCTCTTCTGCATTTGCTTCCTCTTGCTTCACCCCTTTGTTTCCTCCTCTCTCTTTCTCCTCAGTCAGGATCTCTTTCTCCTCTCCTAAATTTCAGTTGATCATGCATTATGTTGTATGCTGAACCATGTGAGTACCCTGTTGCACTACTACAGAGTCCACCGTTACTCGCCTGTCACCTCTGATCATGCCTTCCACCCCCTGCACAGATGTATCTGTTGCAATCTCAACAGGATGAGCAGATTGAATTTCATCAACAATTTTAGAGAGTCCTTGAGAAAAACATTTTTACCCACCTAGGCACTGCTTTGCGGGATAAACATTTGTCAGCATAAAAGGGAAGCATTTCCTTATGAATGTCCTTTGCCCTTTGCCCACCCTCCTTCCCCAAAAAAACCCACACAACGGCACATTGTTCTTTGAGGGTACACTCCATAAGTATAGTCACCATTTTGTTTCTGTACTGCGAATGCACATGCAACACCTAGCGCCACCTAATGAACAGAGACATAAAGTTTGATGTTTCTGTCACCTACTGACCCTTTAGAGACCACCAGTAACATGTTCCTGCCATTCCATAACCATTTATGACTTATTTATTGACGTCCCCTCGTATTTACTCATCTTTTACATGAATAGCTTTTCCTTTTTTTTTCTTTGCCATTTTTGATCAGCATTGATTTTTTGTGGGGAAAATTATGTTTTAATAATTGCAGTACATACCCAAACCTTTCTCTTGTAGTGTTTAAATTAAGTGTGCCTCTCTCTCTCTCTCTCTGTCTCTCTAGATTCTCTCTCTCTCTCTCTCTCTCTCTCTCTCTCTCTCTCGATATGTATATATATATATATATATATATATATATATATATATTCCTCTTTCTCTCTCTCATACCCACAAACACATAAATATAATCATATCAGATGTGTGCACAGGGGAGATGAATGGTCATAGACCACAAGGCAGACCAAGAAGAAAATGGAGAGATAATGTCCAGACAGACCTGCAAACACTTGGTGTCACCAACTGGAAAGAGAGCGCCAACCAGAGAGATGAATGAAGGCGAGTGATATCTGCAGCAGTGAACTTCAAGGGCTTGGAATGCTGAAGAAGAAGATATCAGATTGTGATAGATGCCTAAGTAGGCAGGTAAGCAGCAAATTGCTGCCTGACTAGCAAGCGGGCAGACAAATATTGATATTTTGCTACAGAGAGATGTTTACATGTAGGAATTTCTCACAGGTATCTACAGTTCCTTGCTCAGCAGAGGCGAGAGCTACAGGACAAACTATCAGAAGATGCAGCTTCCACACAGGAAAGACCTGTGACATCAGCAGCCATGGTTGGATCTTCACCAATAAACACAAGTAATTGTCAGATGTTCACCTCACAGTCCCACAGTGGTTTGTATATATCTTTAACTAGGTTTTTGAACAAGGATCAACACCAGGGCACACGGGTAGTAACCCATAAGTGCTCCTTTCTTCTTTTAACTCAAGTCTGAGTCCAAAGAAGCTCAGCATAGTGCACAGGCTCTGTAGCACTGGGGAGGATCCTGAAATACTTTTTAACTCAAAATTGTGCCCGGGCAGTGCCCGTTACCCTACTCTTTTCAATGTCAAACTGCCAAGGTGTTTTTTTAACGTGCGCAACAATGCACACGGGCGTCCGATCTGACTACCCACAGACGAGGGAGAATTACTAGAAGTCCAAGTCCACGTGAAACAAAAAATCCCAGCCCACCCGGAAGCTCTAGCACTTGAGGCGGACACCATTCCTTGAGACCATGCAGCCCCCTATGTATATGTTTCAATGAATGGAAAGCATGCATGGTTCTCTTTTTAGGTAAAAGGACCCATTTCTACACTATTAGGCATTTTGGGCATATAGCGCTAGATCCATATTTTAAAGACCAATTAGATTGAGTGGGTGATGTGATCATGCCTGCCACCTTTACTTCCCAATAATTTCCCAGGACCCATTTTAGACTGGGTCGACCTGTGACCCAAGATTATATTCGAACAAAAATTATATTCGTTCAGATTTGAACCTACGACCTTCTGATCCACAGGCAAGCATCTAGCTGCTATTCTATAGAGGCTTCCTAACGTCTTGTGTACTGGCAGTCATTTCCGGCACCAGTGTTCCTTAATGCCATGAGGCTAAACCGCCCAGAATCTTTTGACTTGATCTCACCTCGCCACTTCCCCCCAACCTTCTTCCTGTCACGACATACTTCAGTTTCCACTTTCTCTTGACATGCCCAGAGAATGTCAGTTGGTTCTCTTCTGGCCCATGTCATTGCCCAGAGAATGTCAGTTGGTTCTCTTCTGGCCCATGTCATTGCCCAGAGAATGTCAGTTGGTTCTCTTCTGGCCCATGTCATTGCCTAGAGAATGTCAGTTGGTTCTCTTCTGGCCCATGTCATTGCCCAGAGAATGTCAGTTGGTTCTCTTCTGGCCCATGTCATTGCCCAGAGAATGTCAGTTGGTTCTCTTCTGGCCCATGTCATTAGTTTTATTCACCAGTCAACTTTGTTTACGTTGTCTTCATTGTGCTCGTCTTAGCCCATTGTCTTCTCATCATTCCTCTATAAATCCTCGTCTCTGTGGTGTTTTGTGTGTGTCTGGGAGTATGTGTCTGTCTATATGTGTGTCTCTGTGTGTTTGTGTGTGTGTCTGTCTGTGTGTGAGTAAGTGTGTAAGTGTGGATATATGCTGTGTTTGTGAGAGTGTGTCTGTGTGTGTGTCTGTCTATGTGTGTGTAAGTGTGGATATATGCTGTGTGTCTGTGTGTGTGTGTCTGTCTGTGTGTGAGTAAGTGTGTGTGTGTGTATGTGTGCCTGTGTTATTGTGTCTGCTTCTGTGTGTGTGTGTGAGTGTGTATATTTGTTGTGTGTAAGTGTGTGCTGTGTGTATCTGTCTGTCTATGTGTGTGCCTGTGGTATTGTGCCTGAATCTGTGTGTGTGTGTGTATGCTGTATGTGAGCATGTGTCTTTGTGTATGTATGGGTGAGTATGTCTGTGTGTGCGTGTGTGCATGTGTGTGTTTTGTGTCTTTGTTTATATGTGTGTCAGTGTGTGTGTGTGTGTGTGTGTGTGTGTGGATGTATTGTGTTTGAGTATGTGTCTTTGTGTGTGTATATGTGCCGTATATGTGTGTAAATGTGTGTCTGGGTGTATTGTGTCTGTACGTGTGTGTATGTGTGATTCGTCTGTGAGTATATGTTGGTCTGAGTGTGTCTCAGTGTGTATTGTGTCTATGAGCGTTTTTCTGTCTATGTGTATGTGCGTATAAGTGTACTGTGGCAGTGTGTGTGTGTTTTGTGTAAGCTTTTATGTGTGTCAGTGTATGTATGTGCTGTATCTGTATGCGAATTTGTATCTGTGTGTGTTGTATCTATGTGTGCCTGTGTATGCATTGTGTCAGTACGTGTGCTTTTGTGTGTTTGTTGTCTGTGTTTCTGTGTTGTGTGGACATGTAAGAAGAAGACAATTTCTATCATCATCACAGCCAAGATCAAAGCAAAATGTGAAACAGTACGAATTACATTTTGGTCATATAATAAGGACATGATATATAAATTTAAAATAAATATATACTCTGAAAAACTCAATTAACACTGCATATCCCAGGGATAACACTGAGGGCTGAACAGGATATTTTTGAAAAATTACTACTACTCCATTTTCTAATATCTCTGTATTGCTCCAGAGCTGGCATGATGCTGACTGACCACAGCACCCACAAATAAAAATCTAGGTCTAGCCCTAAATTCCCAATATGCCTAAAGGCATGGAAAAGGGACCTTATTGCTCAAGAAGGACAAATATGGCACTTCAGCATTGCAGGGACCTCACGTGGGCATTCTTTCTAGGAGTATGAGGCAATGGATGAGTGGGTTTTTTAGCTAAAAAAGCAGAAGTGATAGGAACAGTGAGACTGAATATGGCAGACATTCTAAAAACTACAGATGAACAAATGCTAATGAAACATAAAATGCTAAATGAAAAATTGAATTTAAAGCTGCTTGAATTTAGTGAAGTGTGGATCCAGCAAGAAAGGACATAGGAGAAGAAGAGCAGAACATGTGTACAATCACCTGAAACAGTTAGTATGTACACCTTTAGAGTTTTGCTGTAGGATATGGACCATCTGTGGGAAGGGCCAGTGTGTTATAAGGTTAGTTCTTAAGTCATTGATCTAAAAAAAAAAGCTTCATCTGTTCACCTAATGCAGGATTCTCCAGGTTATGCCGGTGTGTTGGGAAATAAGCAAGCAGATAGACTGGCCGGTTCTGCACTACTTAGTAATGAATTGATGTATGACAAGCTAGATGTTGTGAGGGCCCTTTGGACAGTACGGAGGCACACACAGGTCATTACGATCTGAGGAGAATGGCGCTGCAAGGAGTTACCAGGGGATCCGGCTGACCCCCAACGCTCAAGGAAAGGAGGGATGGATGTACAGTTAGACAGTTATTGGTACCATCGGAATGGGGACAGAAAGCTTATGAGAGTGTCCCGAGTGCTGTGATGTCAATTCTTAATTCACCTTTCAACATTCAGCCTAATTCAGGAAGAATATTTATTATTCTGACCACTTTGCATACAGTTTTTCTCCCAGATTTCAGTGCAGTTCTTCCTCCTATGGGTTCCGGGACCCCATTTTGGGGAGAGAAAAAAAAAAAAAGAATAGATCCACTGCCCCTCACAAGAATGCTGTACAAGGCGACTAGTTAGGGATTTTCCCTCTGAAGTCAGGGTGTGTCTGTCTGAAAGGTGAGGAAATAATAGTCTACATACAATTAATCCAGTTCTGAAAAATGGAGTTTTGGAACAAGACTAAAGTCCAGAAGTGGATCAACAGTCAAAACTTTCTACCAGAGTTTACAATAGTGGAACTCTCCATTTTCGTTGTTCATTTTTGAGATCATCTTCATAGCACATCGGACATGACCATAATTGCTCCGATCTCCTTCTGAGTGTGTCTTCAAGTGTTTTTAGGTTACCAACTCCCAATCTGTTCTGGTTGATGTAACGATTGGTGGCTCCCACATAATTTTCCTGTCTCACAGCTCCAATTAGTACACCCAGGGTATTCAGTCTGTACAGTGAAGTCATTTCCCATGAAACTGAAAGCTTCACAGCATTTAGTCTCTTGTATGGCATTGATAATGTCTGTTCTTTCCATAAATGGCTTGTTTGTGGAACGCTAAGAAAAATAAGTGTGCAGTTCTACGGAGTAGCGTGCTCCACATGGAAAGAACTGAAACTGTTCCTTAAACCTCGAAACAATTATGTAAACAGTTTTTTGGGGCTTTTCTTCCAGTTGTCACCTCACCATCCCAGTCACCTTCATCTGGCAGTCATCAAGTTGAGAGGTCAGGCGAAAGTAGCCAGAGCTTGCACCAGCTGGAGCATACCGTCCCATCAGCCAGAGGCAGCCTGCCTGAAACCAGCACACCTGCAACTACACCACAGACTGAAAGTCAGGGGATGGGCATTTTCTCCAGATTTTTTAAGAAGAACAGAAGTGTTGAAACCTCAGTGTCTCCTCCTATGACTCTGAGTAAGTTGTTGTAGTGTCTAGAATGAAAGAACTGCTATTGTGTAAATTTTCTTCTTCTTCTCACTGGCTGCAAACTCCTTATTGGAAGGTAATGGTTGTTGATCCACTTCTGGACTTCAGTCTTATTCCAGAACCTGATTTTTTCATGCACATCTGTTTAACAGATCTTACAGCTGGGGATCGAACCTGGCATCCCGGCATTTTGAAGCGTGTTCGCAGTGCCTAAGCCAGCTGTAGTAGAGGCTGTAAAACATGAGGAAGACCAAGAAGAACATGAACTGACAACATATACAGTAGGTGTCTTCTTCTTCTTCATCATCATTCCGAGCCCTTGAGGTTCCTTGCTGCCAATATCACTCGCCTCTATTCGTCTCTCTGGTTGGCCTTCTCTTTCCAGCTGGTGACACCAAGTGTTTGCAGGTTTGTCTGGACATTGTCACCATCATCTTGTTGGTCTGCCTCGTGGTCTACGACCATTTATCTCCCTTGTGTATACAGTTTTTACTTTTCTGTCATCTGACATTCTTTCAGTATGCCCCAATCATTTCAGTCTATTAGCTCTCATGATGCCAGTGATCAATGGTGATTTAAACACATGAATTTCATTGTTGCTTCTCACCCTCCATTCCCCCCTGTTTGCATCTTTGATGGGTACAAAGATTCATCATAAGACTGTTTTCGAAAACCTGTTATAAGGCTCTCTTTGAGTTGTGCTCCACGTTTCAGAGCCATATAAAAATTACTGGTCGTACCAACGTTTAATATATTTTAATCTTGGTGTTGCCAGACAGACACTTTGACTTTAGATGTTGAAGGGCATAGTATACTTTATTTCCAGATTGTATTTTAGATTGTATTTCTTCTCTCAGCATATTGGAGCAGTTGAAGTTTGCACTCAAGTACTTATATGTTTCCGTTCGTTTATATACAGCAGGTGTGGTGATGTTAAATATAAGATTAATGTAAGAGGTTTGATTGGTTGGTAGAATTGGGGAAGTCCATAGGTTGAAAGACATGAAGTCGATGTGAAAGAGGGATAACATGAGATTGTATGAGTTGACTTGGGAACAGAAGAAAACTGAGGGAATAGCTGAATAGGGAGGAGTGAAAGTTGATTCAGAGCTGGAGGGAGTGAAAGTGGATTGTCTGCATCGAAAGCTACTCTGAAAGACAGCTGAGAGAAAGACGACTGATGTGTCCTGCTGAGTGCTAATTGTGTGCACGTCAACAATGAACGTTTCAAGGCGTGGTTGTAGGATTCAAAGTGCGAACACGTAGGACCTGGATAAGTGTCATGCTGTAAATTGTCGATAGACCATTTGTTAAACTGGTGGACAGATCCTCATAGCTTGTGTATGGTTACCAGTAAACCTAGAACTGTAATGTGGAGAAGTGGGGCAGTTAAGTGGGATGAAGATTTGTCTCATCTGATCAGTGAACTTGACCTCTAGAAAACAGCCAGTGAGACCCAGTACAAAGACAGGTTAGTTCAACATTAGACTCCCCAGACCCCGCCCATATACACACCAGCTCACTTCTGATTGGTAGTTGCTGAGCTACGTAACCTTTGCACAAGGTTACTGGAGTGTTCCGCAATACCGTTGGTATCGCTTGTTGTATATTTCAGCATGCCAGCACTTTTAACACTCCATAAACCTGGAGAAACAGAACAGAACAGAAACAGAACCACCCCTAGAGAGTACTGCAACCTATGTTACAGGCATTCTCTTTCTCGGAATGAAAACGTAAATGCAAGACAACCCAGAAAGCAAACAATAGAGCAGGACACACCCATACCCTTTAGGAAAGTTGACTAGTCTAACAAACTTGTGAATGAAAAGTGACCTACTCTATTTGGGGAGACTAACGTCGAACTAACCCAAAGAGACACATTACAGCAGGGCTCTTCAACTAGTGGCCCGCTGGCCAATTCCAGACTGCAGAGCCCTACCAAGTGGCTGTGGCCATTGCCAATTGTATTGTAATCTTGTTTGCACTGGGAGTTGGGTCTGCGGTCTATGACGGTCTCAGTTTTCAACATGTTGGTCCCTGAGTAAACAAAGCTAATCATCCCTTTCTGACAATGACACACTGTAACATTAACAGGTGCATTACACCTGAGACTATGATACAATATGCAGCTGCTGACAAAACTTTGTTGCACGGTCTGAACAAGTACTGTGAACAGAACCATTTGATTTTTTATTCCACTGGTTTAGTTGGGGATGAACAAGACACTGAATTTATTGTCATTTTGCCCCATATGAGTTGTGGGACCTCATGGGAAAAAAAGGGGTGGGGGGACCTAATGTCCCTCTAACAAGCATATCACAAAAGGCAACATAAGTAGATGAGTTTCCATCAAAGTCGAGTGCATCTGCCCGAGAGGGGAGGAACTGACAGTCTGCATACAATTAAGCCAGATCTGTAAAATGGATTTGCATGCTAAACTCAAGTTCTGGAACAAGAACAGAGTCCAAAGGTAAGCGAACAACCAGAACTGTCTGCCCAAGTTTCAGCCGGTGAATGCGAAGAATGGTCAGTTTGGTGTATACAATAATCCCATTGTCACATCTGAGATACCACACTGAGTCATGGGGCATTGTGTCCTTTCCACTTGGCAAGCAACACATTTCAAGGAAAACTTTGCGCAATACTTTCCGTGCTGAAGCTATCCAACTGACTGGTCTGATGCAAACATTGGCAAGCATGACTCTCCAGTCCTCTCCGTCACTCTGATATATTTGTAGCTAAAACTACATCACAGACAGAAAGTCCTTGAACATGGGTAAATCCAGCTAGACAAGCCCCACTTTCCTCGCAACGCTTCTTTTGCTGACTTGCAAACTTTTGCAGTCAAAAACTCTCCTGTTCTTTGTGCCACACCTGAGACTTTACCACAGACAGTTATGAAACATCTAAGACAGTATTGAATGTGGATGACCTTGTTTTATAATATGTATTATTTCAATGCTCAGTAAATGTGTCTAGTGTTGACAGTACAGATAAACTTCAGGCTATAAATACATGTTTATAAAGGTAATATAGCAAAATTCTCTAGGCTTGCAAAGATATTACAAAATATAGTTAAATGTATAATATTTATTATTGTAACATTCTTTAGATTTTTCTGCCAGTGAAGCTTCCCAGACAGTAAAGAATGTGGATGACTTTGTTCCCGATGCGGATGGTGTTGATAGTGGATTTCTGGATGATTCCAGAGAGTTGCCAGGGACAGAAGTCTCTCCCAGTAATGACAATGAGGGGAGGTTAGAAGTTTTTATGATGAATTTTTGTTTTTCTTTTAATTTCAGTTTGCGAGAGCAGGTGTTTTTCAGATCTATGGGTGTTGCTACTGAAGCCACAGTGTTTCCTGTTTTGTTTGAGGCTCTCATGGGGTGACCAGCCCCTCTGTGGAGAGTGTCTTGCAGGGTTAAACTTGATGATGTTTTCTTCTTCTTCATTATGAAGACAGGGATGCTTCGAGCAGAGTGGCAAGCTTCACTGGGAAGGTCACGGGTAGTGAGCATACTTTGGATATTTTCTCTAAGCCATGCTGGCATATTCGGTAATGAACAGGCAGATAGATTGGCTGGATCTGCACCACTGGGTGGTGAATTGATATATGACAAAAAAACGGCATCAGTAGAGAAAGAAGGTTATTATGGCCTGGAGAAAATGAGGCATCTGTGTGTAACCAGAGGGTCTGGCCAGCTCACTACACTCAGAGGAAAGGCAAGACGGACATATAACCAGATTGTGACCGGTACTATCAGAAATGGAACTCTGCGCTGACTGCTGAAGATGAGGACAGAGCCTGCATGGGAATGCCCCGGGTGCTGTGATGTCAATTCTTGACTCAATTTAACTCTTCTTCATTTTTGCATTCACTGGCTATAAACTCAGGTGGAAAGTTCTGGTTGTTTGTCCACTTCTGGACTTTGGTCTTGTTCCTGAACTCGAGTCCTGCATGCACATCCATTTCACACATCTGGCTTATTTGTATACAGACTGCCGGTTCCTTGCCTCTCAGGCAGAAGCATCTGCCGGTTCCTTGCCTCTCGGGCAGAAGCATCTGCGGGTTCCTTGCCTCTCAGGCAGAAGCATCTGCTGGTTCCTTGCCTCTCAGGCAGAAGCATCTGCTGGTTCCTTGCCTCTCGGGCAGAAGCATTCTCTTTGAAGGAAACATCCCTAAAAAGGTAGCGGTGGGTCAGTTCCTTTAACCCCACAAAAAATGGAGCCTTGGAATCCACATGTAGAACCAAGTGCTATGAAGTGGATCTTCTTCAAACACTTGTTTAAACACTTGATGATTCCGTTTGTTTGTGTTTAAGGAGAGATGTAACAACAGCTGTATAACTTGTCATGTCTGTCCAGTGGATCTATCTTGTCCTGTGTGTTGGATTGGACCTTGATCTATGTGTTATTGAGAGATGCAAGTTTATTTCCTGGTGCCAAGTATGTTGCTCTGACTTAAGTCAGCATTTGTAGTGAGGTGTATTTGTTTTCAAATTATGGCATCTGCCTCGAGTGCTGGAGGTCCCGGGTTCAAACCCCGGTGAAGGCTGGGATTTTTTTTTACGTGGACTTTTAGTAATTTGCCCTGGTCACTAGGTAGTAAGATCGGACACCCGTGTGTATTGTTGTGCATGTAAAAAAAATCCCCTGGCAGTTGGAAATCAAAAAAGAGTTTTTAGGCATAAAGGCTTCCCCATCAGTTAATGAAATTATGCCATCAGATAACTATGCCTTTCTTTTCCTTTTTTTTAAATTTTAAAATAATGTAAGTTAACAAACACCTAGATCTCATCACAAGTTTCATTTTCAACACTTTTTTGGCACTGTTTGATAAAACATCTTGTACAAGAACTATATTCTCATATTCTGCAGTGAGGATGAAAGTGTGAACGAGATGGTGACGGTTCCACATGACGACTTGGACTCTGGGGATGAGACGGCAAGCTCTGCAGGAGGAGCTATTACCTCAAAAAGGCAGAACACTCCCTCAGAAACACTGTCAAATAACACAGCTGCTGACACTACCAGCAGAGATTCAGCTTCCCTTCGCAGTAATGGGAGTGATGATGTGCCTGGTGCTGCTACTCCTGCAGTTAGGCCACATGCTGATCTCTCCAGTGATGAAGAAGTAGCCACAACACCAACATTGACTGTCTCTCCAGTGCAGAACTTGGCTACACATAAATCAATAACTTCACCGTTTCCACCATCACAGAAGAAAACTACGCTCATCTCGGCAGCAGATGTTGAAGTCACTGACTCAGATGATGAGATCACCAAACATCCGGACCAGAAATTGAACACCAATAAATTAATGTCCAAGTCTTTATCCCGGCATGCACAGAAGTTGGTGAACAGCACCAGTAGCCATTATGATGCAGCAGACGACTTTACCCAGTCAAAGGTTAAGGTCACCAGAAACAGTGAGGGCATAATTCCCCCAGGCAGACGTGAAGAAGCTCTTGATGCCAGTACCACACTGAAAATAACTAAACCAACCCAGGAAGCTGTCACTGATTGGTCAAGCCAGGCTGTGAAAAAGGTCTGTACTTTGGTGATGTTGCCTTTCTACTTATGGCTTTTATTCCCTGTTGAATTAGAAAGTCTCCTTAGGGAAATGGTCAGCTATAATGGATATTCCAGATCCTATGCTGCTGTCAAACTCAGTAAATCCATCCAGCAACTAAATGTCTGAGGTGGTTTAAAATTAAAGCACTAAATGTGAGATAGAAATTACAATAATCACAATCACTCAGTGGCTCAGCATAACTTGTTAGCACTGTCATGGTTTAAATGTCATCATCATCAAGTGCTATACCAATACACCTTCTCCTTGAATTTAGGACCTGCCCTTACGACCACACACAAAAAATAAGCATATGAAGAGAATAAATAAAGATAACTACACTGGTAGTGTCACAAAGCTATCAGAACTGATACCTAGAGCATCATCAAATTTGCCGGTTGTCACAAACTTTTTGAGCTGATTTCTTTTTATAACGGTAAAGTAATGGACCCTTTTCCACATCATTAGGAGTATTGGGTATATGGTGCTATAAGTATATATTAGAGATCAGTTGAGGGTTATATCTCCTACCCTGTTTATTCTCTTCATCAGTGACCTCCCTAAACAGTTGACAGCTGACATTGACAAGGCCCTGCATGCAGATGACCTGGCTATTTGAACCCAGGCTGAGCATGTAGTCAAGTCAAGAACCCTTTTCCACGCCTTCAGGTGCATTGGGTCTATAGGGCTAGACCTATACTCTATAGACCAAATGGCAGTTGGTGGGTGATGTCAGGTTCATGGTGGCCGGCTTTACTTCCCACAAGCTGAACATATAGCAACAACAAAAACAAGATTGCAGGAAGCTCTTGGGGAGTCACAATAAACCAGACCAAAGCTTACAGTTAGAACAAGTTGATCTATACCTAGAAGGCAGCTTCCTTCTACAAGAGGACAACACCAGATATTTGGGAGTAAGATTCAAAAGAAGACTAACCTGGGGCTCCCCCATGTTGAAGATACCCAAAGGAATGCCACCCTGCGGCTCAAACTTATGAAGAAACTTACTGCAACAAGCTGGGGTGCAGATGCCAACACAGTATGGCAAGTATAAGCAGGATACATACGACTAAAACTGGAATATGGCATGGGAGCATACTCCACTGCTGCCAGATCAGATCTAAGCAAACTAGATGAAATACACAGAACACTGGTCTCAGAATCATTACTGTAGGTATGAGAAGTACACCAATCAATGAGCTGGATGCAACTTCTGGCCTCCAGAGCTTGAGCCATCGAAGGAGCTTACCCTAACAGAATAATTTAAATGCATGAACAACAACCCCATGCACAGAATAGCAAACAACTTAACTAACAACTGACTGAGAAAACAAAGCTTTCACCATCTATCCAACTTGTTCTGTGCCAAAAACAGCGACATCCTTTCCAAAGATCCTACAACATAGGAAATGATCCAGGCATACAACATAGACCTACAACCTAACTCTAATGTGACCTAGTACTACATACAAAGAACCTTGAACATGTCTACAACTCTTACTAAAAACCTGAATGGACGCACACATAAACCGATGAATCTTAGAGGGAACAGGAAAAAATGGCGGAAGCTGGTTTGGTCATCCTGCTACAAGATGGGACCACAGAAGAAACGTCATGTGCCTCCAGAAGACTCTTAACAAACTTCAGAGCACAGCAGCAAGCAATTATTGATGCAACCAAAGTGCTTGAGGAAAGAAAGATTAAAAACAGCAAAATTGTTTTCCTTTGTGACTACATGTCAGACCTCCAGGCGACTCAGAGGGATCCACGAGACAACATAAAGATGCCAGCTAAAAGACTTCCAAAAAACAATCGAAGCATTTTCCAGTGGATCCCGGATCACTGGGCATACCAGGAAATGAGTTAGCGGACAGATTCACAAAAAATGGATTAAAGGAGAAACAACACACCCATTCATTGTTATTACCAGAAATCAAAACACTAATAAACTGAAAACACAAGGAATTGTGGAGAGAACAAACTAACAGTGAACATCCACAAAACCCTATCAGCAGACTTAACAGAACGTCACATACAACAATTTTCCATCTAGGAACAGGACACTGTAGGCTCAACTACCACATGCATCAAATAAAAACTAACCATTCACCACAATGTGCCTGTCAAACAGGACCACAAACACCTGAGCACATTCGGCAGACCTGCCCACTGTACCCACAACTTCGAAAAGACACATGGCCTCAAGATCAAAGTGTGCAGAGCAAGCTATAGGAAACCATGAATGACCTGTTACTGACAAGCGAAGTTCATAGAGCAGTCCACCTGATGGTCTGATCTGAGCATACGAAACCGATCCCAAAGAAGAAGATAGACCAATTGACACTCAGTATGTTATGTGGTCAGTATCATGCCGGCCGCCTTTACGTCCTATGACTCTGGTCCCAATTTTAGGCTATGCCAGCCTGGAAGCCAAGGTAATTTTCGAAAAATCTGGCTTGATTCAGATTTGAACCTAACATCTTCAGGCCCAAAGTGTCTAGCCCCTAACTATGACGGCTCCCTTTCTTCTGATAACATGACCCCAAAATCTGCAATGTCTTTGTCTAATTTCCATAATCAGATGCTAGTTTTCGTCTCTCTCCAGGAGGCCTGCCTCATTCGTCATTTGTTTGTTTTGTCCAGTCTGTCAGTCATGGATATTTCTCCCCCTCATAAGAAACATATTTTGTTTGTTCTTCTTAGCATTCACCAGCTGTCAACTCTTGTAGAAAGTTCTGGTTGTTCGCCCACTTCCAGACTTTGGTCTTGTTCCAGAACTTGAGTTTTGCGTGCACATCCACTTTTACAGATCTGGACTATTTAAATGCAGACTTTTGGTTCCTTACCTCTCAGGCAGATGCACTCCCACTTTGATGGAAACAACCACTAATTAGCCTTTTAGAACATACTTGTTTGGGGAAGCAGTGGACCAACCCCTCCAGGCAGTCTCTCTCTCTATATGCCCCATTTATTGCAGTCTATTAGCCCTTATAGTGTAAGTCATTGGTGATGATTTCAACAGATTATGAATGCACTGGATCGCAAATTAATCCTCCCCACAACGCTTAACGACAGAAGTAGATTAGGATGATGATGGCGACGATGATGAATTTCATTGTTGTTCTCATTATCCGCTGTTTGCATCTTTGAAATGTCCAAAATTTGTTTATATGACAAACATTTGGGAAAAGGCTTTATCTCTTTTAATTGTAGTCCAGGTTTCAGAGTTATGTAGAACAGTTGATCATATCAGTGTTTTATCCCATTTGGCTCTTTCTCCCACAGCAGAATGGCTGGCCCCCCTGCGAAGAGTGTTGCACAAAGCATGAAATCCGTAGCAGCGTTGTACATCGCCATGGGTCTCCATTAAAAGTGCACGTGTGAACCGACCAATGCAGCTATGGTATGAACCCACGACCTTGGGAGTGCATGGCTTGACCACTTCATCATGAAGGACCCCCCCCCCCCCCCCCCCCCCCCCCCCCCCCCCAACCTCAGGATTATGATATATGTTTTGTGATCTGGGTTTCAAGGGATACAGCATTTGATTTGAGTTGAGTTGAGTTTTAAGAACCAACATCACATCACTCAGGACATTCCTATAAGTGCTCCGTCCCTGTCCCAGCAGTCAGCAGAGTTCCAACTCCAATGGTCCCATTAAAAGTCTGATTGTAAGTTCGTTTGCCTTTCCTCTTAGTGTCGAGCGTCAGCCAGATCCCCTAGTGACTCCCCTTTCTACCATTCTCTTCTGACTGTAATAATCTAAGGGTGCCTCCGCACTCATTGTTTACTCCCTCCCAATGAGCCTTGACAACATCTAGCTTGTCATACATCTGTTTACCACCAAGTGGTGCAGAGCCAGCCAGTCTGTCTGTTTGTTTTCCAACACACCTGTATACCCTGGAGAAAAATATCCAAAGAACGCTAACTACCCTGGACTTCTGAAGCAATACATGCCACTCTGCAGGAAACATACCTGTCTTTACCTTTTTTTAGCATTCTTTGCGAGTCAGTTGCAATCACAACATATGTGTGCAGCTGATTCTCAAGCCAATGAACGTCGACAGTGGACCCCCTCTACCTCAATTCTCAAACTGGATGCTGTGGTATCATATGCCAGGCTTTGTTGCTCTAAGGATCACCCATTTTATTTTAACAGTAATAGGGCATAATTTCCCTTATTTCCAGATTTTATTTTCTATTAAATATACACAGCTTCATTTTATTTTAAATCGGGTGGTCTGATTATTTTAAAGAACCAGTCACCCAGCACAGAACAAGTTAATTCTGTCACACTGCGTTTTGGTTTACGAACCTCTTCAAACTACAGTGAAAAGATGACAAATGCAATTGTACAAACATGTAATAAGATCTAATGGAGGAAGAGGAGCAGAGGCAGACCAAGAATGACCTGGTTATAGAACTGGACTGACTGCACACGTCTGTTGCACGCAGTCATGAAGTCCATTGCATTTGACCTCTAAAGGTGGAGAGAGCTCATCAGATGTCAACAGAAAATAATGACCCAATAACACGCAGTGTTACGAGATGATGATGGTGTTTCTTCATGTTCTTCTTCGCATTCACCGGCTGAAAACTGACAGAAACTTCTAGTTGTTCATCCACCTCTGGACTTTAGACTAGTTCCAGAACCTAAGGGATGTGTGCACATTGGGTTTACAGATCTGACTTATTTGTATGCAGACTATTAGTTCCTTGCCTCTCATGCAGAAGCACTCGGACTTTGAAGGAAATCCCCAGGTGGTCGACTTATATGACATGCTTGTTAGGGAGGCAGTGGGGCTAGTCTTGTTTTCCCTCACAATGGGACCCGTAACCCACACGGGGAGATAATATTTCATTAAAAAAACTGTTCTGTGTTCTTCAGTCCGTCATTTTTATGTGTTTTTGTTTTTGCAAACTAGGCTGAGACAACCTCAGAGAAAAAGCACAAGAAAAAGAAGGTAAGAGACGATGACAAGAAAAAGAAGAAGGATGGAAACACTAAAAAGAAGTCAAAGAAAGACGGATCATCTGTGAAACCTGAGACAAAACCTGAGGAGACAACGAAGGATGATGATCTTGAAGCATTCCTTGCTTCCTGAAGTGGAAGACAACGAAGCTCTTTAACACTTGATGACTTTCAGAGATTATGTAACCAGTGACTTAACTGGTTTATTCCCAGCCCTTGTTACTTTAACTCTTTATCTTGCCGAAGAAGTTGCTTTAAACTACTCAGTGATGTGTTCTCAGAAACACATATTGAGTTGTCATATTGTTAGTTGCATTTCTTCTTGAGGACGTTATAGAACCAATCCCAGCTCTTTTAAAACTTTTTATTTGCTCTTGTGGTTTTTCTAGACACATTTTTTCAAAGTGGGAGTGCATCTGCCTGAGAGGCAAGGAACCAACATTCTGCATACAAATGAGTCAGATCTGTAAAATAGATGCACATGAAAGTGCATGAGATGAGAGTTTCTTTCAGGCAGACCGTGGTAAGAGCGACAGTCTGCAAATTACCTACTACGTGATGCTGATGACTTTTTTTTAAAAACTTACACCACCTTCGAGATAGATCAAGTAGTAACTGCTTGGAACTGAAAGAGTTCGGTCCCGGATAATCCCACATTATTTTCCAGTTTTTATTTCCTTTTATTTTTTGACAGATTGTTAGAAAGAAAAATAATCAAACAATGTATTTTATCTGACACATTTTTCGGACATTGTTTAATCACAAAGCGAATTATTATTTGCAGTTTATTTATGGAATATTCAAACAGTGAATAAAAGTGTGTGTTTTATTTATATAATAATATGTGAGTTATAGTTTGCATGTTATTTTTTGGAGTAATGGTAACAGTGAACTAGAGTTTATATTTTATTTCTCACAGATTTGTAGATATTGTTTCTAAAAATATTTAGAGATTATGTAGATATTGTTTCTAAAAATATTTAGAGATTATGTAATCAGTGTTTAAGAATGTTATGTTTTTGCTTCCAAATTTTTACAAAATAAATAAATCAAATAATATTTTATATTCTGTTTCTGACCAGTATGCAGAGATTTAAAATCAAACAACCCTTCTCATGGCTTTTGGGGAGAGATATTTTCTTTTTCTATTTCAAGAAAACAAGGTGCCAGTACTCACCACAAATTGTCTAAAAAAAAGGTGCAAGAACTCACCACAAAATGTCTATTACATCACGGTAAAAACAACAATGCCTAAAAAGTTGGCGGTACCATTGCATACTTCCAGGGAAAAAAAAAAGCACTGGTACGAGAGGGTACATCATGAAAAAAGTGGGGCCTCACAACATAACATTGCCAAAGTCAGCAGTGGATACAATGCCGGCAGACTCCATTGTGGAAATGACACCTGTGAAAATTTTCGAGAAGGAAAAGTTTAATGACACCTATGAAAGCAGTTATCTCTGTGTAGCCATGGGGATTTATAAGTACTGATCCTTGAACATGACTATATCGGATACAATGACCAACAAATAAAATATCTGAAATAGAGGAACACACTGCTAAACTTTAAATCTATGCCTCTCCTGAAAAGAACGTTGACTAAATTGGGGTTTGCTTAAATTGGATATGTTTTACTGAAAGGATGAGGTATTGCAGCCTAGCTGTAGACCACAACAGTACCAATCAGCTGCCCTTTTAGCAGTGAATAATTAAAAAAAAGAATCCCCATTGTCTTTAAGAATGTTTCCATGTGATCTCATTTCTCTCCTGACTTGTTTCCATGTGATCTCATTTCTCTCCTGACTTGTTTCCATGTGATCTCATTTCTCTCCTGACTTGTTTCCTGTTTAGTTAAGATTAATGTTTTGTAGCTGTATGGTGCTACAGACTTATTGAAAGGGTGATTCGATTAAAGGTAATATTTGTCTGTGTCGTGTACATATTTTCTTTCTGCTTCTACATAAATCCAGCAGACAGTAGCAGTAGTATTTACAGTTTATATCTTTTTTTTCTTGTCTATAAAAATCTAGGTTGTTTTATTGTGAATGAAGTTCAACCCTACCAGGACTGCACAAAGAGCAATAAACAACCAGTGACACAAAGTGTCACCGTTCGAATGAGAATCACCCCGGGCGCAAGTCCCAGAAGCCCCGTTCCACCGTTAAGTTTTATTAGGGGCCCCCAACCTCAGCCGGAGCAGGGCTTTAAAAGAACGAAAAATTGTGTCCCATATTGGGATGGCATTATAAATAATGTTTTATTAATATCAAAATTGCTGAAGTTGAATAGGGTGTTGTGGTATTTCTCCCTAGAATTAAAGCTACTGATACTCACCACAGAGTATACAAAAAAGTTAACGGTACCTTGTTATTCTTCCTTCTACATCAGTGTTTCCCAATTTTTTTTGTGGGTGCCACGCTCCACCAAAGCCTTTCTAAAATTCTGATGCCCCCTATGTAACCCTTTGGTCAATTCCATTTTTTTTAATTGCCTCCTTTAACAATCACATTGCCCCCCTCTTTTTTTTTTTTTTAACAATCAAATTGCCTCTGTTAACAATGAAATTGTCCTCCTGTAGGGCGTGGGCCACGTTGGAAAACATTGCTCTAGACATATTTATTCATTTTCATCTTTATCAAATTTTTTTTTGTTGCTTCTCATGTATCATTAGTACCTTTTCTTAAGGAATGTAAATAAAGATATATCAGCATATCTGTTCTTGTTTGTGTCCACCGACTTGTTATCTATTATTTTTGTTGACTGAGTTTTCTTGCTGCCCTTAACATTCCAGATATTTGTTCTGTCTATTTGGTGAGTTTACCAGATATTATTCATTGCACATTGTTTTGTGGTTTTTGTCATTGGAAGTAGCAATTATTGTAATTATTTTCCTCGTTGTGAATTTAAATGAGTACACACACAGTATAGTGCACAGTTTAATGCTTTGTATAGTTTTACTGTTTGGTGCTCTTAGCTTGGTTTAGACACGTTTTGAGACATGTGCTTCAAGGAACATTGGGGGTCTAGTCAAAGAAGAGGAGGGCAAAGAAGAACCTGAAATGACATCAAGAAATGGATGGGACTAAGTTATCACAAACTTATTCCTCAAGCAGACGACAGAGAAAGATGGCAGGTTTTTTGTGCTAGTGCTTCCATCGATACACCTTCATGACCCTAACAGGTCAAGGGTTATGTTATGTTTTACTGTAACAAAAACTGTGCACTCACGAGTCAAATGTGAGTAGAGCATGACCCAGAAGATGGTGAAGAGATAATATTCATGCAGAGCTATAAACATTCAAAGTCACCAACTGGAAAGAGAAGGCCCATCACATAGATGAGAGCAGGCAGGTGATATCTGCAGCAGTGAACCTCATGTGTTTTTTATTTCTATGCCCCAGTCGGTTCCAGAGCAAAGACATTCTAGTTGTATTGTTCTCAGGTTTCCTCAGCCTGCGCCCTATCTAATGCCAGCATCTCTTCTTCACCTCTTGATTCATTGAAATTTGTTTAGTTCTCTACTTAATATTTTTCTAGGAAATGACAGCAACCTAATTTCTAGTTTTCACAATCCTGCAGGTCACCTTTGTTCAAGTTTCACAAGATATCCTTCTCTCTCCAGTCTGCTGAATTTCTTTGGTTTCCCAGACTTTACTGGATAATTTATGTAGCATAGACTATACTGGATAATTTGTGTAGCATAGACTTTACTGGATAATTTTTGTAGCATTTATGTAGATGTTTCTATTAGCCCTAATAACTTCAGCGGTACAATCTAGACCGACAGCCTTCCCTTCCTTCAGTAGATTGATAGCTTTCCTAATTTTCTCTTTAGATCAGTGTTTCTCAAACTTTTCTTAGTCGCAGTGTCTCTTTTCAAATAAAAATGGTTCCACATCGCCCTAACCCAAGTAAAAGTATGATTATTTGTATGTAAGAGATTTAAAAAATAATAAAACTCGTGTATCTTTAAATATTTAGAGCCGCCTCTATGAAGAGGTCGCGGCTCCCCGGGGCGCATAGTTTAAGAATTACTGCTTCAGATGGTATCTTAGAGTTGATATCCAATTCCATTTCTAAAAACTGGATATCTAAAGGATCCTCTGGAGCTGGTCGTTACTTCGGGTCTGTGCTACGAAATCTTCTGAGATGGAAAGCCTGTTATTTCAAGCTTTTATTTCTCACTGCATTTATCTGTTATTATCGTAGCTCTCTCAGCCCCAAACAGTAATTAATTTTACTTCTGGTCCAGACACTATTTTAGCTTGCTCTGTCCAGGACAGTTATTGATTTGAAGAAAGAAGACACAAACAATAGACTACACAATTTACTGCCTGGCATATTTCGCTGTATCTTGTCAGGTGCATACTACAGTAACAATTAAATAAATAAAACAAATAAGTGAATCCTTTATAACTGAAGTACATATTCAGCCACACTAAAAAGCAACTGCCTGTTTTACCAGGACAACTGCAGTGTCAGAATCATCTGTTTACAATATACTGAACTGGGTAGCAAATCGTAGCAGCTTCAAGTAATCTTAGCACTCTGGCATTAGAAGATGTGTGAAGAATTGCAATTGCATTATATTTGATTACAGTATGTCCAGAATTCAAAAGGTGGCGCGCAATTGCAGAGGTGTGGTGTTTATTATTTTGACTACTTTTCGAGGTGAATTTTTTTTTTCAACCTTTACCCCTTAAAGTCGGCGTCTATGGCTTAGGTGTTGAGAACAGGCTTCATAATGCCGGGGTGCTGGGTTTAAACCCAGCTGCGAACAATTTGTCTTGCATTGGTTTCAACTGTGGTACCCAGATCAGACAGTTCAGAAAGCAATGGCAAACTGCTGAATGTAAAATTTGCCTAGAAAAACCACTGCAGCCAAATAATGCTTTTAACCCCTTGTAGTTAATAAATGAAGTCTAGATATTTATTACTTCAGCTGGAACAAAGAGTTAATTTTCAGTAAACTGGTGATTCAGATGTGTGGAACACATCCACAGATTCATATTTCTGTGATAGTTATTTACATTCCTAATTGCTCAAATTGTTTTTTTTTAAGCACAACTTTTATTTTTGCCATTGTTTGTTCTGTGTTGCTCATTATGTGGTTCATTACTTAATTATGACTTG